TATCTATCTATCTATCTATCTATCTATCTATCTATCTATCTATCTATCCACCTATCCACCTAGCCATCATCTAACATCTATCTCTTGCCAGCAAATTGCCAGTTACCTTCTAAAAGAAACACAATTTAGGTCCTGAAGTTTCTTTCAATTCAGAGAGGCATAATACAACAATATTTAATTTACAGCATTTTGGCAAGCATGCCAACAAGTAAAAATATCACAGATGTCAGTAAAACTCAGAATTGTACCAGGATTTTGAATTATATTATGATCTTCTAAATTCATCTCAACAAGCAGTGGATAACCTGCAATTCATAAGCTTTTTCTTTATCTTTTCACCCCAAATGTATCAGCAGAGATACATTCTATGGCAGGAAGCATATGTAAACTATAACATAAATCCTAAAAGATGTTTTGAAGCACAAAGATACCCAACCTGAACATATGGTTAATCTAATCGTAGAAAATTACACTGTTGTCCAAATAGGGCAGACAGAAGACATGAAACCTATTACATAACCATGGGCCCTTTCCTTCACTTCTTCATGCTGTAAACCACATTGATAACCAAGCATTTGTATTGGGAGCCCTGAGGAGCAGATCAGATTGACAGATGTCTTTGCATATATTGCATACATTAATACTCTGTCACCACTCTTATGATGAATAGCATTTACTAAAAACCTAGCTGCTGGGAATCCAGGCTTAAAAGTTACTCTTATATGGAAGGGCATGCTTTTTTCAAGCTTTCCTCTAATCTCCTTAAGAACAGAGAATGTACAGACAGCAATCTAACACATAAATAAGACTACTTTCCAGGCTGTGGAAAAAGACTAAATCAAGTGCAATGTCTAACCCAGGATGTTTGTCAAATAACTCATTAGAGAAGAATAAGAATAATTAATTACTTAGCTATTAAAACTTATCAGGGGCCTTAATGTTCAGAGGTCAGGTTTCTTCACTTGAAGAGTAATTAGATTTCACCTAGTACAGGGATTTCTAGGAGAGTTTCCAGGAAAAAAGTTTAAATTGCTAATCAATATCTTGGAGATTTCATTTTATAATATCTGTTTAGCATAGTATGTCAACCTGTGATGTAAAGTGATTCTTATCAGTGATCAAGACAATAGAAAGCATGGCACTGTGATTTCTGAACCAGCTAAACAGACATGAAGATAAATTGGGACCCAGATGGCCTTTAAATACATCATTGGTAATAATGATCCACTTTAAAAGAGTTCCCTTGTGTAAAAAATAAATTGATTTATGTGGCCACCATACACATAACTAGAATTGTATGTTCCAAAATTCTTTGGGGAAGCATAGCCATAGCTTCTATATAGCTGCTACTGACCTCATGGTGCTTCCAGTTTTCTATGGCTTAAATCATCTTACTTCAACATGAAATGAAACAGGATTAGCAAGGGCTTTCTTGATAAAAAACAGTATGGGAATTTGCATGTTTATTCCTTATGCAAGTCAAATGCGCTTACAGAAATCCAGCATCATTCAGAAGCATATAGCTAGGTAGTCAGGAGCCAGTCAGCTAGTAAAAGGCATCCCACAACCCCTTAGCAAGAGAGGGCAGGAGGGGGAGAGAGGGGAGAAGGACATGTTTATTGGGGTAGTCCAATACCTTTCCAATCTTTTGTGGACACTTATGAGTCTTGGTTGCTGCTTTTAGACTAGAATATGGAAAATGGGAAGGTTGGATAAGCCTGATGATTACCAATGACCTCATGCTGTAAAAATGTATGCAATGATAGTTATTGTCTAAAAATGGAAGATTCCTGTTACAACAAATTTCCCAGCTGCAGCAGGAAGCAGCCAGGAAGCTAGGAAGTGCATCTTAATATTAACTTTAAGACATTTAATGTGGCAACTTAATCCCAACCTGGAAGAGACTCTAGAAAAGCTAATATTGCTCACAAGGTCTGTCTAGGCTGAACTACACATTACATTAACTTCCCAAGCCTTGCTCCTTCCAAAACTGTGATTACAATTAGAATTTCCCAATTACAATTTGACATATCATTGCATTTGTAGCCTCAAAAGAGTCAATAACTACATAGAAAAGATGTCTCAGATAGGATTGTGTCCTATATCTTCTATTTCTCCACAGAGTTCATTGACATATCAAACTTCTGAAAAAGAAATACATTAAAAAAGACTTGCTTCTTTAAGTGCATATATTCACAATACAGACTTAGATTACAAATCTGAAGCTTCATTCTAAGCAAGAAAATTAATAAATGCTACCTTTATAAAAATAAAGATGTCCTCTGAGGCCTTAGGCTCCATGATATCCCTGAAACTTTTGGATACAACCCATAGAGATATCTCAGAATGATTATCAATTTGTGAGAAAAAAAAACTGGATATATACTGTACATTATCAGAAAATAATAATATCAACTATATTAATTCTAATTAGATTTAGTGCAAATAAATAGAAATCAAATTTCCTTTTTTTAGCTTCATCCACGAATTTTGCAGTGTAGTACCTAACATCCAACTCAAAGAACATTTGTATATTTGTGGCATAGACCTGATAGACTTCAGACTGTCACAGAAGTTAAATGGTCTTAATAAAATAGAAATCAAATCTAACAATATGAGGAATAATCAGCCAATTTACATTCATGTTCATAATTAAAGACATAGATTTAACATCATCCTAAGGGAGGCATTCCATTCTCCCTTCTTTCTGCTCACCATCTTTGAATCTAAATTGCACAAAGGGAATGTTTTGTACATCCTGTGTAAATTTGTCTGACTTTACTGGAATTTCTTTTTTTACAGACTTGAAATAAGGATTCAGATTGTTGTATGTCATCAGAAACCTTCACTGTCTTCTCAAATCCCAGGATTTTCTGTTGGGGGGGGGGTATTTAAAGTCTATGCAGCAAAAGTGTTTCACTATTTGTAATACAGAAAAGATTAAATAAAGTAGAAAACATAGAAAGAAGAAGAAGAAGAAGAAGAAGAAGAAGAAGAAGAAGAAGAAGAAATAATTACATATATTGTTACTTCCTTCAATTCTTCAACACCTGTGGCTTTATTACTTTTTTTTTACACACTAGACTTCATCATAACAAAACCATTTAAATTTGTCTCCATTAGATTATAAATTGTTTGAAATATAAATTGTTTGTAGCCTTTTACCTTAACCCCAGTTTGAAAAGGTCTAATGAAAATCAGCTTGCCCATCTCCATCTCTTTGCCTATCTGCTCCTGCAAGGGAGCCAGCCTATGCCACAGAACCCAGTCGAGGCTGACATTCATTTCTGTGTTTCTACCAAAGAAGAACCTAGACATTTTTCATGACATGTGAAAAAGGAAGAGGACATGTGAGTCCTTTCTTGAATGGAGTCCACCATCTTAGCATCTATCAGAACTTGAAGAGAAGCTAGAAGTCTGCACTTTATACATCTCCTCCTTCTACATAATAAAACAAAAAAGAAAATAACAAATAAATAAAACTAACCTTCATTCCCCTGATTTAGCTCCAGCAAGACTTCCAAAATTGGTAGTGACAGATTAAGTTGACAGTTCCAAGTAGTGCCAACGATCTGCTCTACCATGTATGACCTAGGAAAATGGTGAAGAATCAGAAAACCGGCATGGTGATCTCAAAGATATATAAAAAAAGGTACCACCAACCAGGGATTTATAGTTCCCTCTGAAGCAAGGAATAAAATGGACCTCTCTTCCCATTCTCCCACTGGGGAGGCTACTTCTTGTTCTGTGAGGAAGCATTTCATTCCAGAGAGGCCCCGAACAGTCCAGAGCCATCAGAAAAGGCTCAGCCATAGTTGTGCTGTTGCCACTAGCCCAGATTTTGTGGTCTTTGCTTCTTAAAGCCCTAAGTGCTGCCTGGTTCTGGGCAAGAAAGGACGGGCCTTTAAGAAGCTGTGTGCATGTGTGTGGTGTGTGTGTGTGTGCGTTTTAATCACATGATTATTGTTCACCTGTATCTTGAACAAAGGCAGTGCACTGTTAAAAAATCCAAACAAGAAAGCAGGCAAGAGAAGGGGGGAGAAATTGAAGGGGTTGTTGAGAGAAAGAGAGAGCCCTTATCAAACTTTCAATTCATGGGTCTCTCTTTCTGTCTGCACACTGGCGTTATTGTTCAGCCATTGCGTGTTGAACGTTTTCCCCTCTTTCCTTCACCCATTATTGCTCTAGTGTATAGAAATAATTAATAGAGTCCCTCCAATTTTCAAAGGGATATGACACCAGTCTGTTGCCCCTAAGACAAGCATCATCTGCAACAGATACCTCTATCATATTTACAATGTGTCTGGACACACTGATTATGCAATTGAGAGTATAACCCACCTGCATGTATATTTCCCCCAAAGATTGAGATAATTAAAACATCAGAACTCTTCAGTGGCTGAAAAGTTTTCTAAGAAAATAAATAATTTCATGGAAGCTTAATTTTCCTCCTTCAGCTCTCCTTCATATGTGGAATCTATTGACTAATTTCTCTTCTGACAAGTTGTTTTTCTAATGTGTTCATTAATTTCTCTATTTAATTTCAAATGGAAAATTAGTTTATTTGGGGAGGTCTAGATTAGGCCTTTGTTTCTGCTGTTGATTTAAACAGAGAAAGTTAAGATGGACATCACTATGTAGAGAAGTTCATACTATCCAATATCCAAAAATATCAAAAGTAGAATAATACCAGCTCAAAGGAGACTAATGCTAAACAGGGACCACCACAATCACAGTACTCCAATTTTTATTAATGTCTCATGCTTATAATGCATTTTCGTTAGTGCCAGCCTAAAGGAGAAGGAACCTTAATACACTGAGTATTTAATGGTGTCTTTCACACTCAGAAAATCTAATGTCCAAGTCACTGACACTTTGAATTAGAAATAAATTCAATTAGAAATAAGCAAGTGTTGACAAGTCATCTGCCAGAGATCCTGAAGAATTGCTAGCTGTTAGCTCCAGTAGATAGAGACAAAGAATTGAAGGTCATACATGACTCTTCAAAGCCTGGTATGTAATATGCAGGTGCCTATTAATGTTGCTACAACATTGCAATTGTAATGCAGAAGAAAATGGAAATCATGAAATATGTGGGAAGTAAGTATATTAATTGTGTTTGATTAAGCTCTCTGGGAAAATGGAATCTAGAATCTGGAGTCCACATTATCCTATCTTTGTTTCTTTATATATTTCAAATTTCCAGACTGTCCAATTCTAAAACTCCTGAGTGGCTTAAAGTTATCTTGTATTTAATGTATCTTATTTTTCTGATTTTGGCCTGCTTTGAGACTGCAAAAGCACTGGAGTTACAACTCTCAGGGTTTCCAATTTGTAATTCCATACATTTGGAACAAGCCATGTCTAGTAAAGATGTGCTAGGCTTCCGTTTCAGAGGCAAAAAAGTACTTCAGAATGGGCAGGGCTGCTCCTGTAACACCCCAGCAACTGTTGAAGCAGCTGAGTGTTTTCTTGGGATTGCACATCTCTCCTCCACAACTACAGCATAATCCTGGGAAAAAAGATATATTTCATTTAAGATTTTCAGACAGGTGTTATTCAGCCCAAAGCTGAATAGAGTGAACAAAAGCTCTCTTAACCAAAGGATCCTTCAAACAAGGATGCAATTGCAACATTAAAGTCAATTGAACCCCCTCCCCACCTGAATTTAGAGCTGATTATATTGTGTATTGTTCTGGAGAACTTCCTTTCATAGTGATGAGGTTTGCTACTTCTGTTTTCAGTAGAAGTGGTAATATTGATGATTCCACATGTCCACATCGGCTAGCAACCTCGGAATTGAAAACAGCAAAAACAATCCACCAAAATTATGCTATGAAATCAGACAATTTGAGCACAAATAGGAAGGCTGCCTATCTGTAAATGTCCAGATTTATAAACAAGTAAGTGTCTTGCCAACATGTTTATGAAGATATGAGGAATGAACTTTGAAAACTATTTTTCCAAGCATGAGATCTAGTCTAATCAGAGTAGCACAGGATTGAAATGTTACTTTCATTGTAGCTGTAATATGTAGCGGCGGAAAATATATCAGAGAACCACATACTGACATTATATGTTCACTAAATGAGGTGCCTGCAGTTGCAGAGCTGTCCTTAATGAGTGGGAAAGTACCACATGATTAGAAGTTTAAGTCTATGTGTAAACTTAGAAGTTCACACATTCAAAATGTAAGGGGGGGAAGCCCAACCCACAGAGACAATGCCACATAAAATGTCAAGAAAACCAGAAATAAACTCAAAATTGTTACTTGTTCACTTTCTTAAGATCTGTGAAGCCATGAGAATCAGAGTTTTTCCTTGTCTTTATAGTATTTTTTTAAATAACCATCAAGTTTATTTGTGACCATGGATTTGTGAATGTGTTTCAGCTCCACTAATAGGCTATTGCAACGATTATTTATTTATTAAATTTATATAGCTGCCCATCTCACGAAATGACTCTGGGAAGTATATACTGTCAAGAAACAAAAAACCCCAAACCTTCAAAATAATTAAAACCAAAACCATTAAAAAGACAATTAAAATAGTTAAAAACTATAATAAAAACATGGAAGAGTGCATTCTGAACTTAAACACAATGCAACCATTTAACTATTTAATTAGCCAGTTTAAAGAAAACAACAAAGTAAATGAGTTACATTTTCCAGGTTTCTCATGTCATAAATTACCACTTTGATGCTTTCCAAAATAGCTGTGGTTATGAAAAATGTCTTCCGATTCTCAAATCCACACTTCCCCCTTCACTTTCTATTGTGACTTACAACCAAACTATACAACTGATTGTAAAACATGACTGATGGGGGGAGAAGATAATAATTTAAATCCAGACATAGATAACCCTTGGGCACTTTGAGTGCATGCTGTAGATTATTTCCCAAAATGGTTGCCATATGATTTGTGTTTTGATTGTGACATTCGATTTCCTACAATCTCAGTTTATTAGGTTTTTTGGCAAACAGAGCACTAAGTTGAAATTATCCATCGTTGTTGATGCCAAAAATATCTAGGGAAGCAGTATGCAGCTCAAGATGATTCCTAGAAATGAAGATTTTTTGGGGAGGTTAATGGTTGACGTAGCTTTACCCTAGCTTCCCATTTACTTACAGTTTAAATAATCTTTTTTTAAAAATAAGGGCAGGTAAAACAGGGAGCCCAGATAGTCATGTTGCTGCAAAGTTCTGCTCTCATTCTAAGTAGGATCCACTTTTATTGTGAGATTCAAAGAAACAATGATTTATACGTGTTGTTCCCTGAAATATACCTTTCTTTGCGCTGGCCTTGTTTTAGCCTACAGCTCTATTCATAGTTAACACAGAAACAAGGAGAAACTTCTGCAGGTATCCATTTTTCCATCATAAAGTCTTAGGAGAAGCAAGTTGGCAGAATTCTCCTGTCTATTTTATTATTTTATTTTATTTTATTTTATTTTATTTTATTTTGTTTTATTTATTATTTTATTATTTTATTTTATTTATCTATTTAGTCAAGCATGTATGAGAAAACAAGTGTAAGTATGAACATAATATATAAACATATAAATATAAACATGTATAAGCATATACACATAATAAATGAGTACGAGTAAGTGAGATTTGGGGTGCCCTTCCAGGTTTGAGGTTGAGTCCCCTTTCATGAAGTGGATTCTTCTGTCAATTGATGCCTTGCTTCCTCTTGCTTGACCATGTAATTCCAGATGCTTGAAGATTGCTAGGGCATCGAAAATACTATTGTCTTTCACTAGCAAACTGCACCTGGGCATGGGGAAATTTGCTGCCCGACCTCTTTTCTTTTCCATTGTTTCCCAAGTTGCACTTCTCCACTCTAAGCTGAATTTTAGCCTGGCTTTGGAACAATCAGACCAGTGTTTCCAAGCCATGGTGATATCTCAGGGGACCAAGAGATACTCCCCCCCTCCATGCCTTCCCCTCCCCGAGGCTATTGCTCCGTCTGAAGAGTCTTCTATCTCTCACACTGGTTGAAGATGACCCTTTCTAGCCAGGCTTGATACAGCTGAGTTGATGTAATATAATTATCCCATTTGAAGTAGACCATAGAAATGAACAGTTCCCCTGGGTAGAAATTACCAAACTCTTATTTTTTCTTTTTAAGTGGTAGGATGAAGATATTCAGGCAGAGGGATCTGGTTTGAAATGCCAAAGTTATTCTTTCCAATTAGCACACATTTTCTGGAAAAAATATATATTTATCACTATATTTTCCATAAAATTTAGCCAGAATTTTCAGAATTTAGATACAGGTGCAGAATTTATATATATATAAATATATATATATATTTAAAGTGGTATGATTTGATGTTAGGTGTGACTTAATCATTTTTTTTATAGTTTTTGTGCAACAATTATGTTAGTCTGGGATATATAGGGACATTTTCACTGTCCTTGGAGCTAACAGAAAAAGCATGCTCATGTTTTCACAAACATATATTTTATATGCATATCAATTAGTTTCTTCATGTGAATGATAACTATGGTTCCAATCATGTAGATCCATTAATACCTTTCAAATGTTTTAGGCCAGTGTTTCTCTACCTCCGCAAGTTTAAGGTGGGTTTACTTCAACTCCCAGAATTCCCCAACCTGTGCTGCTGGCTGGGGAATTCTGTAAGTTGGTCTGCCCATCTTAAACTTGCTGAGATTGAGAAACATTGCTTTTAGGCTACAACTACATGCACAATACCTGACTATTTGCTGTATTGGCTAAGGTTTATGGCAGTGGTGGGATTCAAATTTTTTTACTACCGGTTCTGTGGATGTGGCTTGGTGGGCGTGGCAGGGGAAGGATACTGTAAAATATCCAGGCAGAAGTGGTATTTGCCGGTTCTTTGAACTACTCAAAATTCCACAACCTGCTGAATACCACCTCTGGTTTATGGTTATTATAGTCCAAAGTAGTAACAATGCTTTACGCATTTGTCAACAAAACCAATCAATTTTACTTGCTGTCAATCTGTCCACTTGATTTTTATTTTTATTTCATTTATCAAATTTAAAAATTGCCCCTCTCCTTCACAGAGGGGGTTTGGGCAGTGTACAAGTAAAATATGAAAACATGAAAACTGTATGGAAAATTTAGATAAGAGGCAAAGATAGTTAAAATTCAATATTAAAAGTTAATTCAAAGGCGGGGGGGGGGGGGCTTTGCTACAACATCAATTATTTTCCAAACCTTATGCTGACAATTTGACCATTGTTGTTGGTTTACTGTTACAGATGAATAATATTTTTCAATCATAATCTTTGCTGAAACCACATCTTTAACTATGGTTAAAAGAGAGAAAAATTACCATTCTGCTGCTGATTTTGTTTCGTAGTGCATACCTGGTGCAACCTGATACCCTCAGGATCAGTGGTGGGATTCAAAAAATTTTACTACCGGTTCTGTGGGCATGGCTTGGTGGGTGTGTCAGGGGAAGGATACAGTAAAATCTCCATTCCCACCCCACTCCAGGGGAAGGTTACTGCAAAATCCCTGCTTTCCAGCTCTGTTCTCCTGTGCAGGATAACAAAAGAAGACCCAGCCAATCAGCTGGGACTCGGGAGGCAAAGAATAGATGGGGGCGGTGGTATTTGCCAGTTCTCCAAACTACTCAAAATTTCCGCTACCAATTCTCCAGAATTGGTCAGAACCTGCTGAAGACCACTTCTGTTCAAGATGTTTCCTCTCATTTGGGTAGCCCACCATAAACTCAGCTTCAGTTACCATCCTTAATGTAACTGTTCTGTTAATACATTGTCCATAGTGGGCAAATGACAGCTTGGCATTAGGAATTTAGTTAAGACATGAGTGAAAAGCATTAAGTCTTGGTCTCCCAGTGGGTCCACTCTCACTCCTTCTGTAATAATTCACACCAAATCAAATTTATTACAGTCAAAGACCAGAGACTGTAACAAATAAAAACATCAAAGAATATCCAGTTAAAATGATAGAATAAAGTAATAGATCAAATCTTTATTAAAATCACAATTTGGCATCCAATCTGTCAGTTACACATGCCTAACTATACTATAACATCCATCTTTAAACTGTGAGGCCCACCCATTCCTTCTGTAATAGCATTTGGGACAATAGCTGGGTTCATAAATGTGAAATCCAAACTGTATACTATTACTGGTATCCACTTCCCATGTTGGAATTGTTTTTATTTTATTTAATTATATTATTAATATCTGTTTTAATTATATATTTTGAATGTATTTATTATTTTGAATGTATGTATTTATTATTTTTAAACATGAGCTATAATTTTATTGAAGACTTTCCCCCTTTATTTTGTAAATCACAGAAATAAAACATAACAAGACAGAAAACATGAATACGGTCCTCTTCATAGACTTATACTTTTCTTTTTCTGTCATATTAAAATTACTGTTGGATGGATGGCAACATATGAAAGGGTTTTAAGAGCTGCACTTGATCATCCCTGCTCTACATTCACAAAATCTGCAGGACGTTGTCTAACTCTTGATAGAGACTGACTGCACCTTAAGCTGTAATATTGTTTAGTTGGTTTTAGTTTAATATGTTATATTATGTGAAACCAGCTAGTTGTGATTTATTAAATATACTGTGGTTAAACATAATATGGCTTTGTATGCAATAGTTGTAGGTTTGGCTATCATGTTAATATCACAACTGCTTTTAGTGTCTGTCTTAATATTCCAAGATTGCTTTCACCCATCCTTAGTTTGCTTGAGCAAATATTACAACATTGTTATTATAGCATCTTCCCAACAAACAGGAGGGAAAGACAAGTAACATTCTCAAGAGTATCCTAGATAAAAATATAGCAACTTCTTGTTTTGAGGCATGATTTCTCAGCTCCCTGACAAAAAGAAAGGCAGCTAATATAGTCTATGCAACACCAGATTTCATCAATGGTCCCAAATATACAATAATCTGATTTGTATTATAATATTTATTTTTACTTTGGAATGGGGATTGTTAGGCATCATGGTTAAAATGATCATTTGGGTACAAATGGGAAAATATGTATTGGAATGGTTTGCATGTGACAGTTATGAGAGTTCAGCTGATTGAAAAAAACATTATTGTTGCAACTGCTCTCGAAAGCCAGAAGTAATGAGAATTCCACAGTATTGTGGAATCATCTATACTTGAATCTATAGTTCATGGTTCTGTTGTGCAAGTGTCTTTCCTGAGTTTTACTGCATCTTTGGAACCGTCTCCTGAGGATTCTACTGAATGTCTGCAAGTCCATTCCATCAATATTAATATTAATATTGCAAAAATCATTGGAAACAAAATGGTAAGTCAAAGGGAAAGAAAGATGTAGAATTTGTTTTTGTCTATGTGTTTTCTCCACAAGAATGTGGAAAACTCCTAGGAGGGATGGTTTTAGCCTTCTCTATGAATACAATAGATAAGTCATCAGATACATGTATTAGTGACTGCACTGAAGTATGTTTAATTTTGATCTGCATTTCAGGAGTGTTTATATAGACAGGAATTCCTACTGAGGGTTGAACAACAACAATAAAATACATAACTGTAAAAGTACAAATATGCACCTCCTCCCACAAAACACTTGCAAAACTGTCCCAAATCATCTTGTATGGGAGAAGCTCTTAATCAGTCCACCAATTCTTGTCCTCAGTATTTTATTTATTTTATTTATTTTATTTTATTTGGTTTGTCAATTGCTTACAAGATAATAGGTATAAGTAAAAGCATAGTTATGAATACATGGATACATATAAGAAAAATAAAAGAAACAATAGGACAGGGACGGTAGGCACGTTGGTGTGCTTATGCACGCCCCCTACAGACCTCTTAGGAAAGGGGTGAGGTCAATAGTAGTGAGTCTACAAGAGAAGTATAACCCACCTCAGTTTATCTCAATTTTGTCAACTGTAAGATGTGTTGACTTCAACTTCCTTCAATATGCAGACTGGGGGATTCTGGAACTTGATGTCCATGTATCTAAAAGTTGAGAAGGTTGAGAAGTACAGGCCGAACTGCAACTGGCAATAGGCTATTCAATTATAAGTCTTTCTAGATTGTTCTTATTTCCTAGAATGTTCTGAACTCTGTTTGTAAGAGAAAAGCATTTATCTTGAGGGTTCACAGAATTTTCAAGTATTGGAAGCCCACCCAACATCAGAATAGTAAGTTTCATCCTAAAAGCAATTCCATATAATTTCACATCCATGGAGACTATCATGCTTTCAGTAGATGCTCCTATCAAATAATTGACTATTATTCACACACTCATATAGAAATGTGTGCATATAAAAATAAATAACAATAAAACTGTTGGTGTAGCCATCACAGGGAATGACACACAAAGTTTGTTCATTCTGTAGAGGAATGATATAACGAAGTGGTCCTTAATGTGGTCCTTTCTCAAACAAAAGATGGTTTGAAAAAGGGTATTTGGGGAGGAGGAGAGGAAGATCTGATGCTAAACATTTGAACAGATGAAATAAAAGTTGACTATAGCCACCTTTTAAATAGGCCATATGATAGAAAAGTGTTAATTTGAGATGGGGGTTGAAATGTAGTTGATGGGGATGCTGAACGTCTCCTGTCTGCATACAATGGATGTATTTGGGCCATAGAGAGCTCTTAGCTCCACCCTTTGACTTTCCCTCCCCCAGTGTTAAGCAACGAGCCAGTTACAGAGACATTCATGCAGGGTATTAGGAGCAACCAAGTCTCCCTCCAGGAATGGCACTTCTGATAGTTCTCCCAGCACACAGCTCTTGAAAGCTACCAGCCTTGTGAAAAGAGAACAGACACAGAGAGAGAACAGAGAGGCTAGTGGGACACAAATTACAGCTAACTCAGGATTTGCCCGAGAGACCGGCTGATGTAAGTTTCCTTACCTGCACTTGGTAACTTGCTTCTTCTCTTTTTTCCCCTTTCTCTCTCTCCCTTCTTTTTAACTAACTGACAGCTTTCACTTACTTACTTTAGCAGATCAAAGTTATTACTGTTCTGTTCAAACTACTGTAAACATGTAACTGGAAGCCAATTTTAGTTTGGCTAATTTCACTGAAGGTGTTTGGATCAACTTTATTTTTAAATATTGTTTCCCTATGGTTGGATAATATGATATCTCACAGAAACTAAGTGGTGGTAGAAGTAATGACGAACTAAAACTAACAGCTTTGAATTTCTTAAAAGGCTTCCCCACCCCCTTTAATCAGAATGTAAGTGAAATAGGACAAAAACGTAAAGGCAAAATATTTGTATCCCCTCTATGCTGCTTTTACCTATTGGCTCCAAAGGGCACAATGTGTAAAGACGCATTCTGAAATGTACGTCTTACAAAATCACAAGGCGTTCATGTTATGATCCTTTAATACTAAAACCACCTATTTCTCCTCTGCTGCCAATATTCTTGATTCCAGTCTCAAAAGAAGCTTATATTAGAAGCCATATTTGGAATGTAGAAGGACAAATTAGAACACGGGGATTTTTTTTTTATTCTCACCCCTCTAAGATCACCCCAATTATTATTTTATGCTCATGTGTCCAAAAATTGTGTTGCCATATTAGAAACTTTCCAGACAAGAATTGGAAGCATCAATTAATTTGGAACTTGTCCTCCCATTTTTGATCATGGATTTTGCAAGTGATAAAATATAGCTTCCATTGTTGTTTTTAATGGTTACTAGCTGTTTGTTTGATTGTTGAGAAAGTCTGAACACTTTTGACTTTAATATTCAAATCTATGTTTTAAATGGTAGTTCCAGCTTGAAGACTTGGTTTCCGAGGGGTAAAATCAGGAGGAAACAATGACAGATGATCAAGACCTTTCTGAAGTAGAAATGAGTCCTGTTGGTTCTGAAGACCATCACTGCCTTTCACCAGGACCTTCCATGGCATCAGACACCAACTCTCATCTTACCAACTCTGGCAGTAGTGAGATGGGGAAAGTGAAGAAGGAACAACAAGACACAGAGGCAGATGATGATAAGTTTCCAGTGTGCATCCGGGAGGCAGTGAGCCAGGTACTGAGTGGTTATGATTGGACCCTAGTGCCCATGCCTGTGCGTGTCAATGGAAGCAGCAAGAGCAAGCCCCATGTCAAGCGGCCTATGAATGCCTTCATGGTGTGGGCTCAAGCGGCCCGGAGGAAGCTGGCTGATCAGTATCCTCACCTTCACAATGCAGAACTTAGTAAGACGCTTGGGAAGCTCTGGAGGTAAGAACAATTGGTGGGGAGGGGGGAGGTAAAGAAACCACATAAGGCAAGGTCAAATAGAGGTACAATGGAGAGTGAGAGAAGCTCAGCAAGTATTGATTTACTGGATATATCTTTGCAATTTTTGGTGTGAAGATAGGGAGTGTCAAAGAATAGGCAGACAGCCAATAGAACAAAACATCCTGAGTGCTCCCAATATAAAATTTAGCTCATATTTTGATCTTGTCTATTCTCTTATCTCTGCCATGAGGCCAGTTGACCTGGCCATTCAGTCTTAGGCCCATGAGTTTTATTTCAGATACTGTGTACTCTGCGCCTTCTCTTGAACAGTTGTGTTCCTTCAGTCTAAATCCTTGATCATCTTCTAATCCTAAGCATTTGGCATGCTGGCAGAGAATGATGGAAATTACATTTGGAAACACTTGGAGGGCACCCAAGTGGAATCGGCAAATTTAAGCCTTTGCTTCCTTGTCAAACCAAGGGTCTTTGTTCTGCTGGGGAGCATCTAACACTGGAACAATGATTTTCAGGAATTTGGGGAAAGAGAAGTTTTATCTTCTAAAGCAATTCAAATAACTACATTTTTTATCCATGAGGGAAAACAAATGCTTCTATTGGGGAGAAAGAACAAAATGATTGCTAATGATGTGATGAGTTGCAGGTACAATGAAAGAATCAGTTTGTTCTTATTAGAAACCACCTCATTTTTAAGCTCAGGGATGAATAATTTGTAGTTGTCTAAAAGTGATATGATGATGGGATTAGGTATAGGATTAGTGACAACCTTTAAAAAAAGGATTAGTGGAGAGATGATGAACTTAAAATCAAAGATAGGATTCTCTATGTTGCTAATTAGCCACATACCTCCTTTATAAATAGGTAGAGCTTGGCTGATCATCTGGGCATTCGTAACTTACAGGTGATCAAACTGAGGAACAGAGATATCTTTATGGAACTATACTGCTCCATACTTAGCAGGAACAAGCCAGCACCTACCCAACAGTAGATTGTTGCATTGTCTTTGCTTTTTTATTACATGGACCTAGACTTGAGGAAGCATTTACATTTCAGAGGCACTGCATTTTCCCAACATTCAGATCACATTAGATTGCTGCCAGGAGAAAAATGCAATCAATTATCACATCTAGAAGAACCAATTAGAATACAATTACGAGGATGTCAAGGGTGTCCATTGGAGAGTGCTCATGCAATCATTGATTTAAAACAGATACAACTCAATATATAGATGCCATAATGATAGCTTGTAAAAGAAGACTCACAATGGAGTTGAAACTAAGTGGTTGGAAAAAAAGCATGGAAAGACCTTTGATAGTTTCATCTTCCATCAGATAATCTTGATGCTATATCCTAAGGATTTATTTGTATAATTAAAATGGTTATTTTATCATGGGATTTTTTTGCATTAGACGTTAGCTGATTTTGTAGGGAAAATACAAGCTGGCTTATACACTGAAGTCTAATCAAACATTGAAAAAGACAATTAAGGGAAAAGAATAAAATTTGCCTCTCTTCCTGTCACATTGCGTTATAAGTTTAGAATTTTGGATATGCAGGAGTTTTGTGCAAAGTCTCAGATGAGGTAGGCTTGCTTTGATTGTTCATCCAAGTAAACCTTAAAGTTGGATTCTGTTGCTGTGGGATATTCTTTTGAATTCATTGTCACACATATGAAGCAATTAAACATCACAACAAAAGCCTGAATAAAAGTTAAATTAATCATATTATTTTTAATATGATCCTCAGGTTTTAAAAAATCTACTTTTTTCCAAATAGTGGAATATTAGAATTTTTAGAATATTTGCTTTGAAACAAAACAAAATGAAATATATATTTTTCATCAAATCACATGATTCCTTCAGACAAGGAAATATAAACAACAAGGGACTTGAAATTCCAGGATCTAGCCACACTGCTTGCTTTCAAAACTTTGTCCCGTCCCACCTGACTATCATTCCTTCAAAAGATCTAAATAAGGCTTAATTCATGTGATTCATTTTGCTAAGCAATTTGGTAATGGAGAGCAACACAGCACCCATGTGATATCAGATTAAGAATTCCACTTTTCTGGCACATTCGTAACTGACTTCCGCTGAAAGGCAAATGATTGATTAGAGTTCAATAGTGTACAATAGTACATATTGCGTACTGAACTTCCTATGTTATAGGGCTGAAAATGTTTAAACCTTGAAGAGCCACTGGCTAATAACTAGACAAGCAACTGAGCTGGGCTAGTGATCTAACTTTATATGCAGCATGCTTTTTTTAATTACCTCCCTAAAATTGTTTGATATGTACTCCATTAAGACACCGGGGTTTTCTTAGTGAAAACAAATTTACTATTAAGGATTTTGGTCTCAATTCTTTAGCTATGTGATTTAAAAGGCAACTATCTTTCTGGATTAGGTAGACATGAAACAGAGATATTGACTGCAAGTCATATTAAATTGCAGAACCTCTGTGAAACCTATTCTCTTCCGTATTTTAGTTTGTCTCTTTGGTGTTGGAGACCATTCACAAAACATTTGACCAACTAATTTGTTGATTGTGGTTTATCAAAATCAAAATCTGTTCCTACTTCTTTTGATTAACTCAAGCAAAAGGGCTTCCTAAAAAATAAATGAATATAAAGAAACATGGTAAATCACAAATAAGATTTCTAACATATCCTGGTCATATCTCATTTTTTCCAAAATATCCTACAGAAGCATTTTTGTAAGAGAGTTCATGATGAACTACTTAGATAAACTCTGGCTTCTTTCTTACTTCACAGGAGTCTGTTTGCATTCACTATTGCATAGACTAGTAAATCTACTGTTACTACTAATGCTCCTATTGCTTCTGCTGTTGCTACTAATATTTGGAGTTTGAAACCAGATTAACATAGTTGTGATACTCCAGACAGTTTAAGTCTTAGGAAACTAATCCATTCAAATAAAAACGACCTCTACTTATTTATTTATATATTAAGTAAATATTTATTTAACATAACCTTTATTTATTTACTTGAAGAAATTTTTTAATGCATATTAATTTTCTTGATCCTTATAAACAATTATTTGTGAGTTGTTCTTTGAATAGCTATAAATGTATTTCTGCAAATACTGGTATAATCATAAGTTAGTTTTAAATTAGTAAATATAGACAGTGGTGAGATATAAACCAACAGAGCAATCAATGTCGTTATTTAATTGCATTAAGATCAATGACAAATATATACTGTAAATGCTAAATCAGTGTCAATCATATTGGCAATGAATAGATTAAGCAGCAGTGAATGATATCTATATCTACTTCGTTATTAGATCAAATCAGGAATCATTTTAAGACCTTTCTTTATAAGACCTATTTTTTCTCTGATGATTGGATGCAGCAATTATTGAACTACTACAACAGTGTTAAGAATCAACCATATTATATACTGTGACTCCTGCAAGGGCAAATCAAATAAAAATGGAGCGTTTTGAAGTGCATTTCTTCTTTGGGCATAGAGGGAGATATACCAAATTCTTAATTTATTTTAAAGTCAACTTCAAGCTCATTGATTATACTAGATTGTAGCCACTGGCTTTTGAAAGTGTCTGGTTTGGGACATAGAATGATAGCCATATTTTTATGTTTTTCTTTTTATAAATTTGATGCTGCACTTACTCTTATATTTATCTTATTATACTTTTGCCTGTATATATTTCAAAATTAGGGGCTATACTCTTAAACACATAAAAATAATGATGCATGATGAATTCAATAGAATCTGCTTCTATATAAATATCCTTAGGGTACCACAAAATCAGATCATCATATAGTTATAATTATAATTAATCATCATAAAATTATTATTATTATGGGCCTCCTAATTATGTTCTATATTATGAAGAGAATAGATATAGATACAGATATAGAATATCTTTGACTTCTTTTTAAATATTATATAGTAGTATATATCTGTTTCAGGCACAACTCTTGATCATATATATTTTCCTTTTTACCTTAATATACCATTATATTTATTGCCGCTTGCTGTGGTCCTTCTTGGTTAGTTCTGGTTTTAGGAAAGCAGTCATAACATATCTAGGGAACAAATCAAAATGCTACTTTCTCTGTAATCCTGATTTATGTCTCTATTTGCTTTGTCTTGTTTGCTTTTGTTTAAAAAACTTCCTTGTATCGCTCTTCTCTTACACAGCATTTCTCTTTTTTTTCTTTTTATATCTTGCTGCCAACATTTAAAAATCATCCTAAATATTCTTTAAATAAATATTATCTTTACTATATAATTCAAAATAAATAAACACATATTTCAAGTTTTTTTTTAAGTAAAACAATTTTACATCATGCTTTCGGTATAAAGCTCACATGCAGCAGAACTTCAGTCATTAAAATATTAAGTTTGGAACCAAAGTAATTTTTCTTTTCTGATCCCAGACACACAGAAGGTGTCTCCCAGAACTTGTGATCATGTTCTATGAAACCTACAGCTGCCATTCCTGTCTCTGAGACTTCCAGGAATTCTGAACTGCAGAAGCCCCATGTCTGCCTTCCCAGGTAGATTAGACAGGAAACTGACCAGATGAGCTAATTCTACTTAATTGTAAAGCTGCATTAAAAGAATCTTGCAAGTCTGACAGTAGAAACTTTTTACTGTCTCTTTTACTGTCTGTTAAATTAGGGGTGTTCCTTTCTGGGTTTCTTTCTCTGCCCATTAAGCAGCTGCGAGTTGTATCCAGGTGGCATCTTTTCGCTCCATCTCCCAGGGGCATTTTCACATACCATTACATCCATTGCAACCAAAGGGCAACACAGTAAATAGGTTTTGGTGGATTGATGCTACAATGATTGTACTGATTGAGTCACTTAACTTGGAAATGGATAGTAACACATCTGTAGAATAACTTTTGGCCACCAGATGTCCTCCAAGTATGTTGGACTACAACTCCCATCCCCTGGAATAGAATGATGGTGATATAGTCCAATACCTCCAGAAGGCATCGGGCTACAGAAGGCTAATTTATGGTACCAAAAAGCAGGAAAAGAGCTTTCATTTTTTTTCCTATGGTAAATGAAATAAGCTCTATTACAAATGCAATGGTGGCCCCAGGTTTGAAACAGCCTCCAAAGTTCTTCAGAGGTTGTCCCTGAATTGCGCTTTTTAATAACAAAAGAAGAGGTGAATGATTAAACATAGAAAGAATGGTCATGAACATTATTAATTTCAATTTAATTTAGGTTTTATTCTGGCCTTTTCTTCTTTCTGGGAGTGCAACTCTTGGCAAACTATTCACATGTCAAAAGTAGCCAATGGCTCAAAAACCAGTTCATACCTCTGCATCAACGAAATGCTCATTGACAAATAATACTTTTCTTATGAAAGTGTGGGAAAGATTTCAATCTCTTCATTTATATGTTTATTTCTTACATGCATACTTACATCACCTGCTCTGATATTTATAGTACCCCAATAAATATCATAATCCCCAATTAAATTTTATTTAATAGATCTTTAAAAGCATAATCCAAGAAAACATAAAACAAAAAAGAGATTTACAAACTAATAGAACACAGAATAAAACTTTCAAAGTTAACATTAGGTTAATGCTGCATTTAACAGTGATCAAAACCATTAGTAAAATCAATATGATTCTTATTATTTAGCTATCTTTGTTAACTATAGAATAGTTCCCAAATTGGAAATCCTCTCCCAGATGTTTCCTGTTTCAAAACTCTTGCGCTCAGGGAAAGTTTTCATTGCCTTCCCAAATATTCGCAGGGAGAAGGCTATCCTCACCTTGTGGGACAGGCTATTCCAGAGCAGGCAATTAATATATGAACACATCCAGTAATCAGAACCTGGCCTTGATTTCTAAAGTGGAATTGCAGTCAAAGTCTGGATTGTTGCTTCTCTTGTCCTGACAAGCATGCCTGCACTACTAAAAAGTCCAACAAACAGCACCAACATTTATCTTTTATACAGCACTTTCAGCCAGCGACTAAAACAAAGAAACTTTGCTTCATACACTCTTTTCTGGACAAAAATGAAATAAAATCAAAATCACAGTTTTCACTATTATTTTAAAAGTGTCGATAGCATCTCCTCCTCCACATGGAATGAAAATCCACCGATGAAGTTATCTTTATTTTTTAAGATAGTCCAGAATATAACTCACCGGCACACAAAACATAACATGTACCTTTACTAGCTTCATAAACCATTAATGGTGTTTAGGCCTGGCTTCTCGTCACATCTCCAAAGCATCTGCTATGACTCAAGTGCAACTATTTTACTCTCTATAAACCAAAGTACATGCCTTTTGCCTGATGTGTTGAATTTATAACTGTTATACAAGACCGTTTCAGCTCTATTGTATCCAGGAGATTTTTTTAAAAAAAAATCTTGTCTTCTTATCAATATTTGTTCAGTGGCAATATCCAAAACGGTACTCCCCACTTACCCACATTCCTATATTATTGCTTCCATAGTCTGCTATAATAAGGAATCTTCCTACAATTTGGAAATTCCTCTGAATTTTTTATAAATAGAGGCAGTAGGGTATCTACATTATTCATTGCGGAAATAATGCCTGCACCTCCATGAGAAAATTAATATTTTAATGGGAAGAGAAAATTTGTATTTACTAAGATCCCTTAAAATTATATTAATTTTTTTAGTATATCATATACAGTATGCTAGCTCATGCTCTCATAATAAGGCTACAATTTATGCCAGTAATATTTCTTCTTTACTGAGAATAGCTTGTCTAAAGTATCCTCTCATACTGTATAGTTTTTACAAGCAGTATTGGAGATTGCTCTTATTCTCAATCTACGACTCATGACCTCATGTATAATGAATTTCTTACACAGCGCTATCTTTTATTTAAGGAATTGCATGTGCTTACCTCATGTGCATTTTTATTTTTGCCACATGTTGATTATGTGCCCTCATGTCAGTATTAACTTTTTGCAACCACAGATAGATTTTCTCCAAGACAATCTGTTCCTAACCTCGTCTCTCATGTCTTCCAACGGAGTACTCATCACCATTCAAACTGAGTCTGTTCAATTTGCTGTCCGTCATCCCTTCCTCTCTTTCCTTTCACCTTTCCCAGCATAATAGATTTCAGCAGAGAACTAGGTCTTCACGTATTGTGTCTGATGTAGAAAACAATTGAGCTAATCATTTCTGTTTCAAGTAAGAACTCTGGGTTGATCTATTCAAAGATCCATTAGTTTGCTTTCTTGACGGTTCACAGTATTCCCAGAATCTTCTCCAACTCCAACATTCAAAGAGGTCAATATTTTGTCTATCCTGCTTCTTCAAAGTCCTACCTTAGCTGTCATAGGTATATACATCACAGCATCTGAATATCGTTTTCAATTGCCATATGTATATGTTGGGAAATATATATGATAGGATTTTACATGTGTACTCATGTAAACTGGCACAGGAGCATTAACAATGATATACCCAAGGGATATAATAAACTGCTCGTGGGTTTCGTTAGTTGCACAGGTTCACATCCAGGATATTTGCCTTGTTTTGTAGAGGTCATTATCTTTTTTCCCCCAGAAGAAGGATAATTGTTAATTTCTTGAAGCAAAACCAATATTTTTGTGGCATCTTAAAGATCAATAGACTTTCACTTTGTTCAGTGTTGATTCTGTTCGAAGTTGAATAATAGTTGAATAAATGTATTGGCAGATTTTAATATTGAAGGTCAGTTCTGGAATTCATGGAATTATAATTATGCCTGAATTTTTTTATATGTGGTTCTTAATTGTTAAAAACACTTTGAAATATAACGTAGGTAATCGAACATTATTAATAGTAATAATTAACATTATTAATGTACTTGAATGCTAAGATGAAGAAAGCAGAATTTTCAAATTCCTATGAATTTATAGAACAGATGCCTAAATTTCTTCTAAAAATTAATTGCTGATCAATAAAAAGGATTCAGGCAAAGGGCTATAATAGATGAGTGTTTTATCTGAATGACTATTACATAAATAAAATGACAATTGAGATCTAATTTCATATACATGTTTTTCTTCTGCTTATTGCAACATTAGCAGACAATGTAGATGATAATTCTCAGTTGACGCTGTATTAATTCTCATCATGATCAAACCAGATTTAGACATTAGGTTCAAGTCACAGTTTGCTTTTAAATAGTTTGCTGAATATTCAAAACTAGCTATGTTCACAAAACAGACTAAGCTAAAATCCATGGATTTTTAAAAATTAAGTATGTGTACATCAGTTGGAAGTTGAATGCAGTGAAAATGAAATTTTTAACCATTTTGCCAATTTCAGCGAGGATAGAGTAAGAGTAGAACAGAACACAGAAGATTTTTGAATTTTGTATTTTTGCATTTGATAATTTGTTGGTTGATTCTTTTCAAGGATTTTTTTCTTTATGGAAATAATATCTAGTTCCTAAGAATAAATGCTAAAGAAATTATTGTCTGCAGATTCACCAGGAAAGGTACGGAATTTTTTCTAGCCCAGAAAATTAATGAGATGTGGAAGCCTTAAGATTCCTTCAGATTAAAAGGGCATTTTTGAGCAGGCAGAACTGCAAAGTCCCTAAAGAATTGTATAGATAGATGTAAGTGTGGATTCTTCTACATGCTGTGAGAAGTGCGAGCCTGATCCATTTGGAAAGAAAGACAATAACAAAATCAGTATCTGTCATAATGTACAGTATAAAGGCTAAACTGGTGCATGTAGAAACTAAAATGCTGCTATTTACAGCACCCTCTCCTGGACAAGACATCCAATAACACATTCCAACAAGAATGTGTACAATAAAAATTGTTCCCCAAAATAAATCCATAGGAATTTACTGTGGTTGCAAAAAGAAAATAATGCTTAGACTTGTGATTGCCTAATTGCTGCATGCATTCATGAGAAGAGGAAGGTGAATTTGTCATTAAAATTCTCCGGTGTACAGTACATTTAGTTTTTGATGAACAAATTCAGGTATTCAGAACAGAATTATTAAGCACTGAACACTGCCAGATACGTTAAGCATCAGTGCTGTACATACATCCATGCACACAGACCAAAAACCAGTATGCCAGTTTGGTGACAGTTTTCCTGAGAGTTTTTGACAGCATCATAGTATATAAATGATTGTACATCTTTTCATGTATTTTTTTTAACCAAATAACTCAGTATTCCCAATTTGATGTCATCCAGATGCTTTGGCCTCTAAATACTCCCATTATTCCTAATCAGCATATTTATGAAAATATAAGAATAGGACCAAACCAAAGCCCATCTTAGACCAGGATTTTGATTAACTGGATGCGCACAAATAGGAGACAGAGACATATTTCTCTTCTGCTGTTGTTTGCTTGCAACTAATTTTTGAGCAATGCTGCCTCTAATGCAAAGATAACACTGACTTTTCAAGACTAATAGCCCTTAATTGATCTTCCTCTATGAATGTATCAATTCCCCCTTTAAAGACAACTAAATTAGGATTATTGTGCACTGGTTGAAGAAGTACTTTCTTTTGTCCTTTGCTTATGCCAATCCAGTCATCTTCAATGGATCACAACTTGGCCCAGGTATTTTGATAGAAGAACAAAGATATTTCCCAGCCTACTTTCTTAATGCCATGCTGCATAACAGTTAGATTTTCCTCTCACCCTTCCTCAGGTGTGCCTTCTTCTTTAGCTAAGAATCCTATATCCAATATTTTTGATTTCTTAAGGAATCTTCCAACTATTTACTCTTCTGCAACTATACCTCTAACTCTATCTTTCTTTCAAATGTGACCATAAATGTAAATAGGGTTCAAAACATTGATGTGCCATAGATGTATATAATGGGGGGAAATTGTCAATGTTATTCTCAGTCCCATTCCTAATGATTTCTAGATGAAATCTGTTTTCTTTTTCAACAACTGCTGTGAACAGAATTAACCTCTTCGTTGACCTTTTTCTTGATTAGTTTACAAGTAGCTCAGATCACATTAATGTATAGATGAAGTTAGATTGTTGCCTTAATGTGCATCATTTAACATTTAAATTGAAATTCGTAGTTTGCCATAATAGTTAGACTGGTTAGAAATCAATGGTTGAAATCCAGCACGCTTGAGATGGAGGCTCAGATTGGAGATATTGCACCTACCTACTTTTATCACTATCCATCCAATAATATTGGCACATCAAAACCAGGCATGCATAATCAATAAAATCATGGCAAG